TATCGAGAGCTCTATAAATACCCTTTGCCTCCCAGCTCTTTCCTCTATTTCCATTGATTCTCCTCCTGTCCCACTATCATGCTCAGTCCCCACCAGCATTTCCTCTTTGTTACGTTCCCCTTGATCCTGCCCTACCAGGTCTCCCACACCCACCTCCCCATCAATTTAATGGCAGCGAATTTGGTTTTGAGTTTATACAGAGCAAATCTGAGAAGCCAAATTTAATGAAGAACATGACATCAGGATTAGTAATTTCATTTAACAGCATTCCTAATTTATTGGATTTTTATAACCACAAATCACTTGCTTACGGAAATTGAAGTTTAACTACTTGTAATGGTGCAAAGAAGTGTATTGTACCAAGAGAAGTCCACTGTGATTTTGTTGTAATCATCTTCTCTCGTGTAAATGTGATCATGTTTGTTATATGGTATTTAGTTAAAACTTGATGGTTTTGAATCTCACAACACACAATTGACTGAAAAATTTCAGGGGACAGAAAAAAACTCCCTTAGAGCTCAGATTCTAAGAATTCTAACACACCCTGGCCTCCTAACTAGTGAGAAATAAATGTTTGTTAAATTCCCCGCAAATAAGAAGTAAACGTTAAATAGAATGTATTTAGAATTTTATCTCAATTAAATTGTGTTAGAATTTATGGCCAGGGTGGCCCGGAGCAAAGCAGCATGACTACAAGATGATGGACATCTAGAGCCGTCTTGTGTCTTCATGCGTGCACTCGTAGAGAGATGTGTATATCTTGCCAACTTTCATCAAGGTTCATACTTAAGTTTTGAGCACCTTTTCTATATGTTGGCTATAGCTGAATAAAATTTACATTTGAAGCAAAATATTCATTTCGGGGAAAATGCCCGTGTTAACCAGAAGTTAACGAATATTATGTAACCAAGTCCTTGAACTCGTTCTGTATTAATCCCAAATTTGCACATTGTATATAGAACAAATATAGCATGTGTTTCAAATGCTGATTTTAATTTTAAATTGGAATAAATATGATTTTAATATCATGTCTTATTGCTTGTTAGATCTATATAAAGAAAAAGGTATCAAGGTATTTTGCTTTCTGTTTCTTGATGTAGGAGTGTGAACAGTTGTTGATGATAATTACCATCCCTCCAATGTCAAATCAAAGTCCTGACCTTGAGATAACAGTCATCGGTTTCTTTTACTCACTGGTCCAATTATGCCATCGAGAGCATCTAGAGATAAGAACTGGTGATGATACTTCTCCGTTTTTAAAGTTGGAAAGTTTAACTGCTCAGGAAATCTAAGAAATATACTACCTTATGTTGAAATTTTTTTTTTTTCACTTTAAGTTATCTTGTGTGGATAGGGTTATCCTGAGATACTGTAAATAAATGGGTATGAACATTTTGGGCTTAAAGATTAAAACTCATACTACAATTCTATCCTAACTCATTAAATAACTTTTAATATTGCCCTAATTTCAAGAATTCAATAAGCAAATGTGGTTAGTGGTTACTGTGTGAGGCAGAGTGAAGGTCACTGCAGGAAGGGCCATTGGACTGCACTGATGTATATAGTGGCAAGAGAGAGATGAGGCTGTCTGCGCTAGTGAAGACTTCCCATCTGATGAACCATAGGATTGTCATGGGACAGAGTAAACTATCCTTTCTGAAACTGTCAGATGTGCCCAAACCATTTCACATACCACCTCCTTTTCAAGAAAAAATATTTATTCAATGCCCCACAACCAATTAAAACTTCTGAAGGATAGCCCATAGTCCAGAATTAAGTATAACCATCTGCTTTTCCAGTCCCCTTAGACTGCAGAGAAACCAGAGGAAGTATTGCCCATTTTGGAAACACTGCTGCAAATCTTTACAGGAGCAAAAAGCCCCATCTTTCTCCTCTGTAACAGCTGGTGGGTTCAAACTGCTGACCTTGTGGTTAGCAGTGCTATAAGTAACCCACTGCACCACCAAGTCTAATGTGCATTTAGCCTTGTCTAATTCCACTAAGAATCTCCTATTATCTATGACTTTATTTAATTTTAGAATACAGGAGTGGATATCTTTTCCAAAATTTTTTTCTTGAAGTAATTCTCAAAATGGCACTAAGAAATTTTTCACAAATAGAAACCAAAGAGCTAGACTATTATGTTCACAGATTCATATAAAGAAGGAGAAAAATAATATTTCTAGGCAGCTAGCTACGTTTAATTATAAAAGGTAAGAAAATTTAGCATGTTGAGCTTCAGTCCTGGCCAATACAAACAAATCTGGTTAGTCAAGATGATGCAAGATAGAAATTAGATATTTTTTCTTACTTATCTAATTACAATGCAGGATTCAATCATTTATTTTTTATCTCAATGTATTTATTGATAACTGAATTTGTATTTGAGATATTTTACTACATTATTTTATTTGTCCTTTAGCAAATATGTTGGAGCAAGAACAAAATTACATGGTCTTTTACACCCGATAATGGTTGAGTAAGCCACCAAGCTCATGTTTAACCAATCCAGATCACAGCATAGAGCTGAACACCAATGTGGAAGAAGATACTGTTCATTTCCTCTGTTTTGTTGACATTTTTTGCATCAGAATACAGCAGTCATTATCAGCCAAATAAAGCCCAGTTGATTCTATGGAAACAGCATTGATAAATCTATATAATGATACTTAGAAGAGTAGATTTTTATGATGAAATTGCTGTGCCTTTATTGCACAAGAAATGTAGATTGTACAAAGTAAAATTACTCCTTTAATAAAGGTTTGCCTTTTCCCTGTTTATTTACATTGTGGTTGTTTTTGTTTGCTCCTAGGCTACTGATGTAGACACCGGCAATTACAGTGCTATGGCCTATAGACTTATCATACCACCCATTAAAGAGGGAAAAGAAGGCTTTGTGGTGGAAACATACACAGGCCTCATCAAAACGGCCATGCTCTTCCATAACATGAGAAGGTCTTACTTCAAATTCCAAGTCATCGCAACTGATGACTACGGGAAAGGACTAAGCAGCAAAGCAGAAGTACTTGTAAGTAGATCACACTTCAGCTAACTAGGGATCAGTGCTTTGTAATTCCTAGGGGGGGAGCAGCGTTTTCAACTCATAGAAGTTATTGAATCTTAAATGGATTTTCTAAAATATTAATGTGATTCATTTTGATCCAGGTATTAATGACTACAGTTCATGGAAGAAAAAACAGCTTTGGTAATATTTGTTCTTTTACACTTGGGAAATAAATATTATTTTTTTAATTATATGATTGTGAAAACAACATCATAAGTGTCAGAATTTTATGTAGTCTTCAGATGCTATCTTCAATATAGAATTTCACATGCACTCAGACATACATGATCAAATATTTTTCTTCTTAGATAATGGTGAAGACTGACCACACGACTGGTAGATATGAAGGCCAGCACACATTCCCAACATCATTCTTATTTAGTAACAATACAATTAACAAAGGTCCATCGTCACTGATTCCTAAGAAAAGATTTTCTTTTCTTTACATCTGTTACTGAATTCTAATCCACACTAAATGCTTATATATCTGCTTGCACACACACATATATATGCAGACTATGGAACATTCCTAACATAGACATGCTACTTGCACAATTTTCAACACTTTTGATGATTAACATGTTCCATACCCCATTATATTTCACCTGGATCATTGCACAAGCCCCTAAACTTTACCAATTCTTCCATTCTTGCCCCAGTAAAGCCATGTTTGCACTGAAATACCTTTAAACTATAAATTAATTCATGTTGCTTCTTTCAGAAAACCTTTAGGTGTCACCCTGATTGTTTCAGGAAAAAAACACTGTATGCGTTATCAGTTGTGAGGTCCACCGTAATCTGGCTTCCATGGCCTCATTGTCCCCTTCTTTCTCTCTACCTCAATAAAACTAAAAAAATGTTTTGAAAATAATGATGGCAACATATGTACAACTGTGCTTGACAAAATGGATGGATGGATGGATGGTGATGGCCTGCAAGAGCCCCCAATAAAATGATTTTTTTTAAAAACCCTCAGTAATATTATCCAATTTGATTTTTCTCAAGCAGCATAGGCATACTCTCACCTTGTACATTGTAGTATTTATTCTCCTTGCTTAGAGTGGTCTATCCCAAAATGTGTCTGCATGGATGAATTCCCAATGAAGTCTACTCTCACCAACCTGTTTAATACAGGGACCTACTATGGTATTTCACGACCCCTTTTCATTATTTTCATCATGTGAATCCACATACCATTTCCATATGTATTGTTTTGTGTCCATTATTGTTTTGACACTAAGAAATGTAGGCTTTCTTCTGTTTGTTAGTTTCATCACCCAGTTTATCTCAAATGCCTATAATAAATCCTTGCATATTTTGAATGCTCACATATTTGCTCAATGAATAAATGGCCCAAACATAGTTAAGCATGTCTTAAAGTATTGGCCACAAAACTCTCAGATTCCCTAAAATCCTTTCAATAGCTGATGAATTTAAAGTTCTTCTAAAGAGAAAACAAATTATTTACTTTTTTTTTTACCATGAGGGTGCATGTACTTTTAGTGCCTTTGTAACCTTTTTAATAATATAGTCAGAATAAAAAAAGAAAAAAAATGGTTTCAAAAATAATTTCCTAACATGTACAAGTTTGCTTGAGAGAATTGATTTATGGATTGTTATATCTGTAAGAGTCCCCAGTAAAATGATTTTTTTAATCTCCTTGATTAATCAGTAAATCTTACTAATTTTAAGAGATATCTATTTTTGACTAACTTCTTTTCAATATATTGTGCAATTAAAGGAGAAGTGCCCATAAAATATCTCCAGGAAGAGAATTATGTGAGCTGTCTTTTTTTTTTACTTGAAAGAACAACTGAGTGACAAAGTATAATGATTGAATATTGGTAAAAATTTAGGAAAAAGTGAATGAAGTGATGCTGTCATCTCAAGAAAAACAATTAAAAGTATCTGTTACTGGCAACAAATTCAAATTGTTGAGTCCAATGTATCCATTGACATTGAGTCAATTCCAATTTCTGGCAGTCCTATATGATGGAGTAAAATTATCCCATAGGGACTTCCCATCATGCTTGCCTCCCACAGAGCGCTAGTGGGTTTGAACAGCTGACCTTCTGTGCAGTTGCTGAGGGCTGGACCACTGAGCCACCAGGCTTCTTTCTAAGCCTAACTTTGAATATTAGAAAATTTGTATTTACCTTTATTGGCACAGCAGCTTCCATTTACTTAAGAAATAGAGTTTTCTGATGAGATTAGTTGTCCTATTAAAACATGTTATATCAAGAAATGTGTCAATATTTGAAAAACCTACATCATTCAGTGAACCAATATTTTCCATGTAGTTAATAAAATGTTAAATAACCATTCATGAGTAAAATATCCATTCAGAGCATCACATTGAAAGTGGATCTTAATGTAACTGAATACAGTTTCAGATTTGCCTTTGTAGTTAACTTTAACACACTATCACTTAGATTTTGGTATAATATCAAACAAACAGATATAAAATTTTCTAGAAAGGCTATTAAATTAGCGGTTCATTTCAAAAAAATGTGAGAAAACATCAAAGAAGAGTTATAAGAGAGGGACCAATCAAAGGGAGATATAATGAGAATATCATTATGTTAGCAATTAGCCAAATATGGCTACTAAGAATATAAAACGTGGCTAGTTAGCATTGAAATGTCCTGTGAGCTTAAGCTACACATTGAATTTTAAAGACAGCAAGAAAATAATGTAATATATTTCATTAGCATATTTTTGTATTGATTGTTGGTGTATATTTGAGCATATTACATTAAATATATTGGTAATTTTAATGTAAGTACTAGAAATTTTAAATTATGTGTCATGCATTTGTGGTTCACAGTATATTTGTATTAGAGAGCATTTCTAAGCAATCTGAGAACAAATGGAAAAATTAGAAGGAAAAAACAAAGGAAAAATTAGAAGTTTATGAGTAAGATTAATAGGACTTCCATGTGGGCTTTGTTGCTTCTGAGCACATGGAAGAAGCACACCAGCCTAAGCAACCACGAGGTGTCAAGGGATCAGGTATAAGGCATCATTAGAACAAAAAATCTTATCAGAGAATGAGGGGGGGAGTGCGGAGTGGAGACCCAAAGCCCATGAGTAGGCCACTGGAGATTCCCTTGCAGAGGGGTCTCGGGGAGGAGATGAGCCAGTCAGGGTGCAATGTAACAACGATGAGAAATACAACTTTCCTCTAGTTCCTAAATGTTTCCTCCCCACTCCCACTACCATGACTCGAATTCTACCTTGCAAGTCTGGCTAGACCAGAGGATGTACACTGGTACAGATAGGAACTGGAAATACAGGGAATCCAGGGCGGATGAGCCCTACAGGACCAGTGGTGTGAGTGGCGATACTGGGAGGGTAGAGGGAGAGTGGGTAGGAAAGAGGGCACCGATCACAAGGAGCTATATGTGACCTCCTCCCTGGGGGACAGACAACAGAAAAGTGGGTGAAGGGAGATGTCGAACAGGGCAAGATATGACAAATTAACAATTTATAAACTATCAAGGGGTCATGAGGGAGGGGGGGATCGGGGAGGGAGGGGAAAAATGAGGACCTAATGCCTGGGGTTTAAGTGGAGAGGAAATGTTTTGAGAATGATGAGGGCAATGAATGTACAAATGCGCTTTACACAATTGATGTGTGTATGGATTGTGATAAGAGTTGTATGAGCCCCTAATAAAATGATTAAAAAAAAAGATTAATAGGATTTAGAAATATATAAATTATGTAAATGCCAACTTCTGCCTTTAGAAGTATGTGCCTCACATCTGCTAATTTTTCTCTTGTGGAACACATCTCGTTATGTTAATCCATTACAGTCATCAAACACAACAATGACAAAAATATGATAAACATCTTTTGTTAGTGTTCAACCCACAAAGAGATAAATTCAACAGTTACATAAACAGATTGCTCAAGTCTAGTTTGACCAGTGTGTATGAGGGCGTCGTTAGGTGCACCAAGCCTGTTCAGACCCAGAGACCCGGTGTACCAGAGTGAAATACTGCCCAGTCCCGCACCAGCTTCACACTTGTTGCAACCAGTGCCAGTCATTTAAGGGATGAGGCTAGTTTATAAAAACAACATAAACAAAATCTAGTCATCGTAAAAATTTAAATATCATTGCTTTGAAAAGAAATAAACTTACCGCCATTGAATTGGTTCCAACTCATAGCAACCCTATAGGTGATAGAAATAATCAAATAATTAAGAGTGCAGAATTCCTTAGCAAATTCAAACTATAAACTGAAATATTTTATTCTTTTCATTTGCATTTGAAAAGATGTGTATGTTCTGCGAAAATTAGATATAAACATTTCAAGAAAACTAGTTTTTTTGAGTAGCAATTTAGAGGTCAGCCTATGATGAAAATTACCTTTGGATTTAAATGTAGTCTGACTTTTGCTGCTTTATCGAAAGTACTTACACATATATAATTTTTATCACACAAGTAAAAATTATTGTCTCAAAGTTATTAAGATCATAAAAGTATTTTATTAGTATATATAAAAAATTATCAAGCATATATGTATATATATATCAGAAAATAAATTAACATTTGAAGAACACTGGTTAAAAAAAGTATCAACCTTAATTTGTTTTCTGGTGTTTTTGTATGAATTGAGCCCCAAAACTTAGGAAAAGATAAAACATTATATTTCTGTAAATAGTGTATTCTTCTAAGTAGAGACATTATTGACTGCCCTTAAAAGGCAAATGATGTAAAACGTAGGTCTGCAAGGCCAAAGTTTGCTTCCAAATAGTTCCTGTTGTATATGAGCTGATCACATGGCAAAAGTTTACTTCTAAATTATCTAGTGAAACTTGAAGCACATTTTTGCAAAGATGATTTTTCCTTTTCCCTGTACCCACGTATAAGCAACATTCTTGTTGTACTTCCATTTTTCTAACTCTAGTAAGACTCTAACTGCCTTGTGTTTGAATGTTCAACAGACATCCTTGGACATTTGTTGGGCATAGGAGGCTGGATGTGTAACAACTAGAAAATTTCAATGGCATGCCCAATCAATTTTCTGTCTCGCTTTATGTAACAATGAGAGGTACATAGTTTATTAGCATTGTTGGCAGCTCTATTGTACAAAGAGATGCAGGAACTCATATTACTTCCATCTTGTGTCTCCATCCTTTCCAATGTCATCTTTATTCAGACAGATCATGATGGCATAATCTAGGGTCAATTATATGTAGAAAAAAATGAATCTATATCAAAGATACATGGAAAAATGAAATACTCACCATTAGAAATCATATTTGGCTATATGGTACTGCATACACATAACATATTCAATTGATCATCCTAGTGTATGTATATATATATGATGTGTATGTGTATATATATGTTATATATACACTAATAAAATATATAAACTGTGACAGATTATAGATATATATAAACTATATACATAGTTATATACAAGCTATATATATAAACTATCTCTATATCTATATCTATACAGTTTTAATAGGGTCTAGCCTTGGAAGAAAACTTGGTGATCTACAACCCAAACACAATCATTAAAACCCTTTGTAGCACAGTTCTACTTTGACACACATGGAGTCACCAAGAGTCCATTTGGTCTGCAACTGTTATTAAGTGTATATGCATGGCCATATAGAGTATATCAGTATTTGGTATTAGCAAAGAACATAATAATTGTAGTCAGATAACCTTAATCTGAACCAGATTATTAAAGCTGTCTTTAATAGATTTGCTTCTTTATTTAAAAATTGGAGTAATAGTAATAACAACCTTGTACAAGAATTAATTATTATAAAAATTAAATGAGTTAAAGACTGCTATATCTCAAGGGGGGGGGGAATAATAGTATTATTTTCAACCATTTTCCTATATAAGAACATAGGAGAAATTCAGTAAATGTTCAATAGGTGTTTGCATAAAAACTTTTGAATTCATTTATTTTTAACCTCACATGTAAGTCCATGTGTATAGATATTTCTTTATATATGTGAAAATATAAAGTTATATAAAGTAAAATATTCATGTGTGGTGTCCTCACAGAATCAATTACTCTAACCAGATCTATCCCAGATTCTTAATTACAATGCATAGGTTGTTTGTCTGGCTTTGTAAAACTGTAAGTATGTATTTTCCATTTTATGAGGATTTTTTAATAACCAAATTTAAAGCACAAATATATACCAACTTTAGCATCTTAGTAAATAGTCAAGGTAGTAAACATAAAAAACAAACATAAAAACCCAATTCCAATTAAAATCATGTAGAATTCTGTAACTTCTAAGTAGAGAAAAATTATTTGTTATTTATTCTCAATCTGTCATAGTTTGCCTCTACATCTATTATGATTGGATAACTAGACAAAATATATGTTCCCAAATGAAAAATGATAAATCATCATGTCATTGTAGCATACAAAATAAATAACAATGCTATTAAAATATTATGAAATACTGGAGAATACAAATCTAAATTCTATTTTTTCTTTTTTTGCAGGTCTCTGTGGTTAACCAGCTGGATATGCAAGTCATTGTTTCCAATGTACCCCCAACTCTGGTGGAAAAAAAGATAGAAGATCTTACAGAGTATGGATTTTTTTTTATTTTTATACTTATTTTAATACAGATAAAATGTTAACTGGATGGTTAGATTGTTATGAATCACAATAGAGTTGATAGTAATGGATTTGGTTTGGTAGGGTATTTTAATCATTCTAATGCTCAGAATAAACAGACACCTTAAAATAATATTTTAATAATAGCTCACTAATTTTCCAAATCATATAGTTTCCTTTGAAATATATGAGGACTCTAAGACCACTTTCAATTAAAAATGTAAATTAAAAGTAAGAAGTTCTTATTACTCAGAATGCTTTGATTGGTGCATTAACAAACATCCAAAATTCAGTATATGAGAAAAATGTCATTTGTTACATGACCTTTATTCAAAATGCTCGTTATTTGGTTTATCCAGATATTTTAGTAAATGCAGTTACTATCATATTATCTGACATTTTGCATTTACAACTGAAGTAAAATAACACCCACTCACCTCTTTTCCGCATTAATAATGTACTTACTTCTGGCACTAACAAGTACAGAAATGTTGGACTGGCTGTTAGGATTCACTGAGCTGGTTCAGGACTCACAATGGTTTGTCAGTTATGTAATGATGCAATCTGGCAGTTATGTAATGCTTCAGTTATCATTCACTTTGTTATCTCTTGAGGTCCTCCTCTATTTTCTCATAGAAGGCTAATTTTTCATAACAAACTGCTTTTCAAACCTACCATGTCAATAAGTGAAGAGCATATATATTTATGTTCTTTAATATTTATTATTTCAAAGTGATATCTCTAGATAATCAGAGCTTATTAAAAGCTGCCACATTCATGATGCAAATCATCCTGTCTTTCCACACACAGGGTCACTGGTGGGTTCCAACTGGTGCCCTTTTGTGCTCATCTGAGCACTTAATCATTAAGCCACTTGGGCTCATTTATAAGGTGGCTTCAAAAAATTTGTGGAAAAATCAAATTAAAAGGTAATGGACTTTTTCTGTGAACTTTTTGAACACCGCCCCCTTATACATATGCATATATATACACATATGGCTGCTAGGGTTATAGCTCAGACACAGGTTTGCTTGAGACAAAATATTTCTAAACATGCTTCAGGGTCACTAGTGCCGGCAGACTAGTTCTCTTAGCAATACACTTGTCTTAGTTTTGCTAGGGTACCTTCTCCCCCCACCCCCACCCCTACAAAATTAAAGATACAATTCAAAACAGTGGCTTCTGAGAAAATCTGTTGAGCCAGTTAAATCCAAGGCCTAGGGATTATCTCTGAATATCCTGGTGACTGTTTGAGATTTCCTTTTAAAGGGGTGGTGTGATCTGGATAGATTTTTTGGAAGGACACAAGATGGTGATGAAGGCTCATTATAGAGTTTTTAAGATGATTGAAAATTTCAATGATGGGGTGGGGGAAAGACCAGTTGTGCCCAGGAATTGTGTTCCATTCCAACACTGACATAATCATTTTTCGTGTGTATCCATGCTGTCCTACAAGATTTTCATTGTGAGCCCTTACAACCCTAACTCCACAGATGATCTTACCACTTCAGACTTCTTTGTTTCCAAATACTAAACATAAAGCCACATGATTTGATTCCACCTACGATGTATAAACTTCCATTTTTGAAGTGTTGCAAAGCAACAAAAGCAGAATGTTTCAAGGAAGTGTTGAGGTGGTAATACTACCTTCAAAAGTGTGTAGATCACAGTGGTTCTCAACCTGTGGGTCGCAACCCCTCTGGGGGTAGAACAACCCTTTCACAGGGGTCGCCCAATTCATAACAGTAGCAAAATTACAGTTATGGAGTAACAACGAAAATAATTTTATGGTTAGGGGCTTAATACATGAGGAACTGTATTAAAGGGTCACGGCATTAGGAAGAAAGAGAACTACTGATCTAGATGAAGGAAATGCTGAGAAGTCTTCACGTTTTGATATTTTTATTTTAATAAGGATTTTACGATTTTGTAGCAATGCTTGTTAACCTATACTCGTGTGTGTGCGTGTATGTGTGTGTGTGTGTGTATATATATATATATATATATATATAGCCATATATATGTGATTTTTATAAAATATATCTATAAATATATATTCTCTGCCTGCTTAGCAGTGTATACCAAACATGGTTGAAGAAGAGGTTATTATTGACTCATACATGATTGTGATTATTTATTAAGCCAAATTTTCTAATATTCTGCCGTATTCAAAAATTAATAAAATGTCTTTACTCTTTTACTCTTTACTAGCCTAATCTAACCTGCTGCCATATTTAATATTTTTTTCCTCTGTCCTCTATTTATTTCTGGTTGACAGCTATCACTTATAACTGTCAATTTGCCTTTCTCTTGCAAAGCAACCCCTATTTCTTAATTGCCAGAAAGGCTTCAGATAATCAGATAACTAATCTTTTATTAATTATATGCCATGCATATTATAATAGGCAGTGATTAAGATGAGTGATATTCTTTTAGGATAAACATACAGGCTTCATAGAAAAATATTTTATATTTCACAAGTTTAATCTTCTGATATCAAAGAAACACTCTGTTGTGGTGGTTATTACTGGATTCAAGAATTACCAATCGTATAATGTCTTGTTCATTGGTGCAAGAATAGTTTGTATATTTTCATGCCTAGAAAAATAGTAGCTTATTTGACCTGAGCAAAAATCTAGAATTATGCTTAAATGCCTCTTTGCTGTTTTAATTTCATCTATTCAGTCAGCCCTTTTCTGTTTACACCATCCCAACAAGACCACCAGCTCTTCAACTGCTAGCATTTGTTAGATTTCTAAAAATTCAGATCATCATGTAATATTTTATTAAATAATTTCCAAGAGATTATAAACTCTATTAGTATAGGAAATTAAATGCATTGTGTTCTCTGTAATAACTCAAGTTATATAGTAATAGAACAATAAAAAAGTTATATTTTATATGCAAAGCAGATACATAGAATCTCACATTGTATTGAATGATGATTTCAGTAGGAATAAATGATATATTGAGATAAAATTTTGAAGATTGGCATAAAAATGCCAAAACAAAATATTTCTTTGATTCTTTGAGCACTTAATGTCTCTTAAGCAAGCATATTGATTTCAATGAAAAAAATCTAGCACCTTGCAAAAGCTTCCAACTCTCACTGCTGTGGATTTGATTCCTCCTCAGAGACTCTCTGGGACAGCGTAGAATTGCACCTGTGGGTTTCAGAGACCATGAATCTTTACTGGAGTAAACTCCCAAAACCAGCCTCACTGCCATTGAATCTATGCTGATTCATAGTGATCCAAGGCAGGTTTCCTAGACTGTAACTGTTTTATGGCAATAGGAAGCCCAGTCTTTGTCTCATGGAGCTGTAAGTGGTTTCGAACTGCTGACTATGAGGATCGCAGTCCAATGCATAATCACTGCACCACCAGGGCTCAAAGTTCATTTTCTCCTGGGGAGTAGTGGTGGTTTCAAATTGCTGACCACAGCATCAGCAGCACAATTCATATCCCATTATACCACAGAGCCGTGTATTATTGTGCAAGGAGCCTGGGATATACACTGAATTCAAAATATGATAAATGTTAGATAAACAATTTAATGCTTCCCAACTTAGTTTCCCTTGTTGACAGGAGCCAACAAAACTTAGAGGATAGTTGTGAAACTTGGATAGAAGACACAGGGCAAAATGTATGGAAATTATAAATAGTCACTAAATAGCAAATTCCATATACATGCATTAATTACCCCAAAACAGTAGAATTAGGAAGAGAGTTCCCAAGGATTTTTGTATATTGTATTACAAGAGTACAGTATAGTAAGAGCTTAATCGGTGGATTCAGAGAGACAGGTTTGAATTTATTGTTGTGTGGCCTCTCAGCACTGACTTTAACTCTGAGGGTCCTGCTTCTAGCTTGTATTGTTTGGGATAGAATTAGATACAACATTTCTCATTTTGTAACGTAATAGGCAAGTGCCATTGCCTTTGTAGATTCTTAAAGATCTGCAATTATTTCGAATTTTCTTAAGTAGAAACATTTCTGGCCCCTTTTTGAAAAGCTGAGAGAAGTGGCAGGGATGAGAGCTGCTGGGTCTTACAGTGTGCATGGGGAAGACCCTACACACTCACTCTAAACACAGGTGACTCATGAAAGTGCACACGTGCCCCCAGTAGAAACCATAGTACCAATTTGTTCTAAAAATGAGATATTTTCCCTATTGACAAGAATAATGAACACATCCATTCCCTTTAAACATTTTTAAATGGAAAGTCACCTAATCTACAAAGCCAGTTCTTATATAGCCCATTGAGACCTTCTTGTCCTGTGCAGTGACAACATGAAATCCATGATTGGCACTTTATTTATTTTGTCCTTGAGTCAGGCCCATATCCAAGGCCAGATCATCACCTCAAATGTCCTTGTTAAGTATGACGTCAGTAAGTGGTGAAGTTGATGAAAGAAGCAATCAATGACCTGATGTCTCCACTTCAGGTTGGGGAAGGCTCTGCAGAGAGGACCAGTATCCTTGATGGCAAAGGGCAGAACAAAATCCATTCAGAAATGTTTGTTAGCTGCTATAATAATGATAATGATTACCACTCAACCCTTGGGATGGACTGGAATGACTTCATTGAATATTTTTCGCAACTTTTATTTTATGCTCTTAGAATTGATCAACTCCACTTTATAAAGAAAAACAGCCCTTTTTAGTATTATTAATATGGTCAATAATTTACAATAAGAAACTATATTTCCTGCAAGTAATATTTTCTATGTATGCACTGAGGTATTTAAAATTCACTTTTGGATTTATTTGTGGGTTTCTCTGAGAAATTCTTAGGGTTGTGAGCTTTGCTTTTATTGTCCACAATCTTGGGGTTAAGGTGCATGGGAAGAAGTGGTGAGTTTAAGGTTAGGGACACCTTATTGTAACTAACAAATGATTGGCAATAGTAATCAAAGAAGGAGCTAAGAAAGATTTGCATTTTATGTCTCTTTTCTTCTTTCCTTTTCA